ATCAGCTGCCTGTCTGGGTCACTGCCCCCCACCCCTCTGCACAGTGTGGGACCAGGTAACAGCCCCAGCAGCCCCAGCCCAGGCCCCACTGCCCCATGCTGCCTGGGGGGCTCTGCCTGGAGGCCTCAGAGCCCCCACAGCCCCTGCTCCTGTGGTGAGTAGAGGCCCTTTTTTTTTTAAGTGCCAGAGGCTGGGCTGGAGGGGGCAGCCATTGTGGGTGGGGGGGGGCTGCAGGAGCTGGTGGGGGATGGGGCCAGTCAGGGCAGCAATCTGGGGGGCTGGGGAAGCAAGTGGGGTTGGGGCATGTGGGCCCTGCAGGGGGTTGGTAGTCCCTGCAGGGGCTATTTGGCCCCTGTTGGGGGGGCTGTGGCCCCTGTGGGGCAAAATATGTAGGTATTTAGAATTCATTTTATTATGATGATAGAGACACTGGTAGGTTTCCAAATTGCTTTAACACTGTAGATATATCAATAATACATTGCCCAACTGATCACTGTCTCTCTGTCTCGCACTCTCTCTCTCTCTCTCTCTCTTTCTCTCTCTCTCTCTCTCTCTCTCTATATATATATAGTGGACTTTTGTTTTAATTGTGGAGGAATATGGATTTGGGGGTATTTTACAGAGTGACTTCGGGATTTTTTTATCAGGGATTTTTCAGTTTTCCAATAAGGAACACCAGAATTCCTGCCAGGGAGGCCAGTGGCAGGACCCTGCTTGCTTAGAGCTGGCACCTTGGATCCAGCTGGCTGTGGCTGACCTCCTGGCCAGTTGGGGCCAGGAGGACATGCTTTGACAGTTCAAAGCAGGCCACCACACTAGGAACATCTTCTGGGTGATAGTTGTCCAGATGGCTTGCCAGGGGCACACATAGCAGTAGTGCCGCACAAAGGCCAACCCTGCAGCTACAGCTCGCTGGCAGGTGGCCCAGAGGGGCAGATGCCTCTACTGGCTGTGCAGTCCCCATCTGGGTCTGGCAGATGTGCCAGGTAGCAGCCCCCACTGCCAGACTGCTGCAGTGGGTAAGGGGTGCAGGAAGAAATCAGGGCTGCTTCAGTAGTCCAGCTGCCACAAGGGGCAGTATCCCCAGGTACCAATTGGCTGGGCCCCAGAGGCTCCTGAGAGTGAGTAGCCCTGAACTACTTGCCAGGGCAGGTTTTTGTACTGCTGTGGCCAGGACAGGGCAGCTTTTTATACTGCTGGGGACAGCACAGGTGCTGGCCCCAGGCTCTAGCTCCCCTGCCTGGATGCAGATCCAGGAGGAGCCAGACAGGTTTATATGCCTCAAGATGCACAATTTGCTCCACAACAAAGTGCGTGTCCAGGCACGTGCACTGAGTAAAAAAGCCCCGACTCAAATTTGCACCGCTTTTATTTGAAATGCTACAAGCACACATGTGGATGGATCCAATTAATTTTATTTTCCCCCAAGAGAATCCATTTGTCAATATTGTAGAGTGCAAAAAGAGCAAAAGTAGAAGGAAAACTGAAACAAACTCAGTGGATTAAGAGACTAGGGGTCAACACTGCCAGTTACTGGAGAAAACTGTGTTAAATACCTAGGAATGCTTTAGCAACAATGGACATATTGCTAAATCACAAAAGTGCAATGTAATTATATGCTGGTGCAAATATAGTTCATATAGCTGAACTTTTTCATTGATGCTAAGACCCAGATTCTGGTGTCCAGCACCTGCCTGCCCACATCAGCTCAGCAGAGCTGTTTGTTTACATTAGTGGCTTGAAGTCACCTTTATATTTCCTTGGAGTCTAATCCAAAGATCATTGAAATTTGTTATAAAGATCCTAATGGCTGCAGTGGGCCTTGATTCAGGCATCCTCTGATTACTGAGCTCTAGATGTGGAACAGGCCTGTTGACTGTATCTTGAGTTTTGGAACCATTCTTTTTATTCTAAGTGAATCTACCCTTCTTTTCAACATGAAGTATAGATCTCATCGAATGTTTTTTTCATTTTATGCAAGAGGCACGTGGTCCACAAAAAGATATCACCCTAAGAAATCCTTTTCTTCTCAAATAATCCCTGGACCATCATGGCAACAACAGCACTTTAATTCTTATTTTATGTCATTGTCTTTGGAGATCACAAGGCTCAATATTATAGCTGGAATTTTATCAATACTATCTTAAGGGGCTATTTAAAGTTTTGTACTCCACCCATCAGAATGATAGCTGGATAAACCTGGGGCTGGGTATCTATTACTGCAACATTTATAGGCATGCCTACTCAGATATCATAAAAGTAGTCAAAGCTCTGACTTCACAAGGTAAACAGATTGCTGCAGAAGTCAGAGAAGAATTTTACTTTCATGTAGTGTTACACAATTGTTTTTGGTGCGTTATCAGTTATTGCAGTACTATTGTTGCTTATGCAGGTATAGGAACTGGACTAGGAAGCAGGAGTAGGAGAAATGCCCTCAAATTTCAACACAGAAAATTTAGGCTGGAGATTAAGAAGACCTTTCTGCCTGAGGTGGTTAAGCATTGGAACAGACTGCCTAGAGAGGCTGTAGAATTTTCATCCCTGGAAGTGCTCAAGATCAGGTTAAATGGGCACTTGACTGGGACGGTTTAGTCAGGGATGCTTCTACCTTGAACAGGGGGCTGGATTTGTTGATCCCATGAGCTCCCTTCCAACTATACATCACTGTGATGCAGAAACACAGTTACAAAGAATTCTTACTAGGGAAACCAAACACAAAAACAACAAACAGCACAGTTACATATACCATTTTGTGACAGAAACCAGTCTTAATTGTGATGCCTTTATGCAGACTAGATTTACAATATCTCCAATGGAAACTGAAAGCCAAGGTAAGGACTTTACAAGATCTTGGCCATTGGGCTTTTTGGTTCCAATGTTTTAAACATTATAAACCCTAGTGCTGAAACGGGATAGCGCTCTCTGTGGTGATGTCTGTGGGATTCAGAACATACGCAAGTAAAGATGATTAATAGTTTTGGGATGAACAAACAAAAAGGCAGAATCTTAAATGAGTTAAAACACCGTAAAAAGAATAAGCTTCAGAGAGGATTTGGTGAACGTGGAAGATGATTAGAATCCAGAAGCTCTGAATTCTGGGTTTGGTTCCAAAACTGGTTCACCTTATCAGTTATTATACCTTATTAATTATGTCCATCTTATTTTCCCCATCTGCAAAAAGGAGGAGAATAATGCTGACCTACCTCACTGATGGTGTGACAAGTAGGCAGATAATGTTGGTAATACACTTTAAACATTAGAGGACCTGTGCAAAGAACAGAAATAGTAGATCACTCCAGGCTTTCATTTCTCTGCTAAACCTTTTCCCTTTCTTCTCCCATTCATCCATCCCTCTCTGCCAAATGTTTCTGCATTTGGCACGTGCTGCCTTACACAATGGCCATAATACAGAGGGTGACAGGGAATGATTGCTTTGTTATTTTCTGTATGGCTTTTAGCTTGGTGGAGCTTTGGTTAGACTTTCTAGCTGCTATCACAATAGAAATAGTAGTGGAGTAAATGGTAATTATTATACCGAGTCTTAGATTATTTAAGAAATTATTTAAAAATAATAATATAGATTAATTTCTATATAAGTTTTCTCATTCATGAAAATCTCTTCTTTTATATTTACAGTACATATGGGATGAAAGTGAGCTTTTTTTGTTCAAGTCATCGATTGCCTATGCCATGAGAAAGTATTTCTTAGAGGTCAAGAACGAGACAGTTGACTTCCAGTAAGTTGAGTTGTTTGGGCTTTTTTACAATCCTTATTTGGTTCAGTAGGGATATATGCTGGTGACAGGCCTCCTATGTAATGTAAGAAGAGGAAGTTATATTAAATGATACACAAGGACATTTGCTGGTCGTAACAGGAGAGCCACTTGCTTTCCTGCCTGCTGCCTAAGTTTCAGAACTCTTGATGGAAAGAAAAATGTCAGCCATGCAAGAAAATAGATCATGATTTATTTATGGCTGATACAGAAGATTATGTAGTTTACTGCTAGTGGGGAGATCTGAATTTCTGCTCAAATGCCAGACAAGGAATAAGTGTAAGCTATGAGCTCTCTTCTAGAATCAGAAAAGTAAATTGGAGTTAGAAATAAAGAATGAAATTATATGAAACCCAATGCAATAATAAACTTACGTTTATGATGCTGAATTTTCAAGTGATTTTGAGCTTCAAAAGGTGAACAAGTTGATTAGAATGAAATGAAACCTACTTAGGATAAATAAATTCTACCCTAATCTAATTTTATTTACAAATGTAAAGTCCTTATTCATTTAGTTTGTGAATAGAAATGGATTTTAGTATAAAACATAATTCTTTCTAGGTCTCTCAGGATGACTTTCTGAAGCTATCAATATTCCTCAATTATTTGCTCATATTTCAAGGACATCAATCACCCTAATGTCTTGGCTGTGTTCTAGTAAGAGTGTATGTGCAAAGACATGGTCATTTTTATACAGTTATTCACAGTAAAAGAAGGGTTAATGCTGTCCCAACTCTTTGAGGACAGCCCCTTTCTTCTATTTTTGGCAAAGTGGAAATTATGCTGCTTGGAGTCCTCAATCCTGGGGCAATGATTCTGCGTTAAATATTATTTAATAAAAAAAAAGAGGAATCTCCAAGGTGACAATAAAAACAATTCCATTTTCAATCTGTGGTCATACATTTTTGTATATTGTAAATTCAAAAATTCTATTCCTCTTATTTTCAAGTTGATAACATCTTTCTTAATCATGAAAACATTTCTCTTATGTCACTCAGGAGCGGAGATATCTACGTAGATTCTGTGACACAAAGAATCTCCTTCTCTTTCTTTGTCAGCATGCCTGGACATATCAGTAATGTTGTTTCCAAGTCTGATGTGGAACAAGCTATCAGGTGATTTTTTTTTCTTTTAGTGAAAGTAGGATGGAGGGTGAAAGAAATGCTCAAGTTGTTTGACAGAGGTGCTATAAGAAAGTGTTTTTTTGCAACTAGAATAGGGAAAAGTTAGAACAAGATAATTTGTTGTAACAGAAAAGACCAATTGTCCATCTATTCTGATGATGTCTTAGTAGCTGATATACAATGATTCAAGGAGGCTGGAAAACACTCTTGTCAAACTGCCATGGTTGAGTGAAGATGGTGAAATATAGAATCCAGAAATTTCAAAAAGAAAACAGATGTAATTGAGGCCCTAGTCGTATACAGTATATTGAGGATCTGAGAAGCAAAAAGAAAGAGGGAGATTAGGTGAATGTAAGGTCAGAAGGTCTCCTGTCTTTCTTTGGGTTGGCAGTCAAAATTGAGTATTAAGACTGCATAAAGTAGCACCAGATCTTTAGCTGTCACTTATGGTTGCAACAGAGATTGTAGGTTACCGTCTCTGTATCAGAAGTTTACATAGCCTTTCTGTCTTCCAACCGTGTCACATCAGGAAGGAAAGTAGTTTATTGTTCCTTTACTCGAGCAGCTTTTTCAAATGAAGAGTTCAATGGAAGTTCAAGCTATTTAGAAGATTAGAAGGAAAGCAGAATACTTTTACACGTCTCTGTTAAATATATTTATTTGTTTTTTCCTTTTGATGGCAGAATGTCTCGTGGAAGAATCAGTGAGGCTTTCAAACTGGATGACAACACACTTGAGTTTGAGGGTATTCTTCCAACACTGACCCCACCATATGAACCACCTGTCACCATATGGCTAATAGTGTTTGGAGTAGTCATAGGCGTTGTAGTAGTTGGAATCGTTGTCTTGATTTTCACTGGGCAGAGAGACAAAAAAAAGTAAGTTTCATTTTAGATAACGTATGTGATCAGGGTGAGTACAAAGTTAGCAGCAAAGAATACTGAAGAAAGTCCTGGACAGCTTTTCACCAAACCTAAATTTTCTTTTCTGTTCCAAGCTGGAATCTGACTTACATTGTGATTTGCATAGGGTTTATTTGTTTGTTTTGCATAAGAATTTGTTATCTATACTTTTGATCCAGTACTGATACAACAGAGATTGGTCTGTTGTTCATGGTGGGCTTGCTGTTCTTCTTACTAAAGTCAGTGGGTGCAGTGTGATTCATATTGGGACATTAAGTGTATTACCTTGCTGAAATCCAAAATAAATTGAGCAAAGTAAGAAAAAAATATAAAACAGAGCCAGACACTCCCACATATTAACAGATTATTTTTATTTACAGGAAAAAGAAAGAAAAGGCAAATGAACTGGTAAAATGTGACCTGAGCCATCTTTCTTCTGTTAATGGAGAAAACAATGCTGGGTTTGAACCAAGTGAAGATAGACAAACATCATTTTAGAAGATAATGTGGATTTTCTATTTAAGTTTTTATTTTCATATTGGTTTTGACAACACTTCATGGGAGAGGCCAAAATAATACAGATGTCATTAAGCATTATAAGGCCTGATATTTTCAAGAAACTACCCATACACAGTCTAAGGCAACTAAATGACTTGTTTGCCATTTAAGGATTAAATATATGCTGCACGGAAATGCAACATGTATGTACTTTTTTGCCTCTGTCTGAATATTATTGCATTACTACTTATCCATCAGCTAGCTATATTCAGTTTCTTGTTGCTTCTTTTATATGTCTATATTCCCAAGGGTTTATAAGTTAGCTGCCTGTGGATCAAGAACAGATGTGTATAAGTAGTAGTTAATTATTTTATAAGACACTGGTACTATCCAACAGAAAGAAGGAAAATAAGAATCTAGCATGATGATCAGCTGGAAAAACACTCTAGTAGTAAGCAGGCAAATACTTGCATTTGAAATAAAATGACTCTACCTTTTCCCTGGGAATTAATGTTAAATCTGAGGAGAAATGTAAAGACACACAGGAAATTAAAAGAAGACATGACATGGTATTATAACTTGCCCAACTGGCTGGCACAGTAAGTATGGTATGGAGACCAAATAACCAATATTCCCTGGAATCTTTCTTTGGGTTATGCTGAAAATGAAACCAACTGTATGTTTGTGTTTGGGAATAAACTGGCAATAATTTAATGTTTCATTACAAATATGTAAGAATTTGCTTCCTTTGTTGGACACATCAGAATCTTATATGAGTGTTTTAGTTGTATGGTTATGATCTGCAGATTGACATTACTTTATTTCTTTTATATAATAGCTTATATTGTTGCATTAAACTTTCCATTGGGATACATATTTTTGACATCTAGAGTGCAGGACAAGGCTGAGATCCAGGGCTGGCTGGAAAACAAGATATCTCACTTTGTGGCAGAAAAATTCACCATGGTGTTCACCATGTTTTTTTATTCTGCATTAGTACAAAACTGACAGCTTTTAAAATGCTAATGAAGAGAAAAGATCCTGAACTAGCTAAGTGGTTTGCATGCTCACCTGCTTTGACCTTGGTGCTCTATGATATACTCGGTGATTGCTCCAGCTAACAGGTTAATTGGGGAGGGAGCTTTGCAATTCTACACCATGTGGGATCTGGGCAAGCCAAGAGACCATTAATACAATTTTCCCTGATTGACAAATCTAGTAAAAGTGTTAGAGGCAAAATCTTGGCCTCTGTGTAGCTTTTCATAGAACCATAGAGAAGTAGGGCTGAAAGGTCATCTAGTCCAACACTCTGCCTGAGGTAGGATCATCCCTATTCAAACCATCCCACACAAATCCATTGTCTAACTTCTTAGTGAAACTACAAAGTCACACACAACACAAGACATAGCACTCTAACTTGCTGCAGGTAAAGCAGGGGGACCATGGTGACCATAGAGCCAATGTTCTGCTGCTACAAGTGTGTTAAAATAAAATCTTGCTCAATAGACCCTGAGTGTTGGGGAAAGACCCTGTAGCCAGGAGGGGTTTAAGTCCCAACAGAAGCACTGGCACACCCCAATCAAAATCTCAATGCATTAGAGGAAGTCTTTAAAAGAAAAAACAAAACAAAACAAAGAAACAACAGAAAAAAACCTGACACATGTAGCAGCAGGGTTCTCTCCTGGCCTCATGCGGCATCTAGCAAAGCCCAGAAGCATGGGAAATACCCATAGAAGGACATAGGAATAGCTATACCTAGATCATCCCTGAACAGGGGCTGTCCAACCTCTTCTTGAACAACTCCAGTGATGCAGAGTCCACAGTTTCACTAGGCAGTCTATTCCACTGCCTCACTGTTCTAACAGTGAAGAAGTTTTTCTTGATATTCAATCTAAACCAACTTTGCCGCAACTTCAATAAATTTCTTTGGGGAGTGATGGTATACTAGGGAGCAGGAAAAGCACACAAAGTAAAAGACTTACCCACTCCTGCATTGAGTGATACTGAAAATAGTGTGACAAAGGTGCTGTAACAGTGGGGCCTTTCCCTTTAAGACAGGGCAGCCAGCTTGGCTGAGGGGCTGCAGCTATGAAGGCTAATGGGAGGAGAGGGGATGCTGAGTCAAAAACACTAGCACACAGAACTAGGGAGAGGCACATGGGAGAAACATCAGAATGGGGAATTGCTGGGCTATGTGGAGGGCATGTCCACTGTAGGAATACCAGAGTCACATGGACCTCTCCCAGTGTTTTTTGGTTGGTTGGATTTTTTTGTTTGGTTTGGTTTTGATTTTGTTGCTTAATTTTTTAAAAGGCTGTATAATACTGGTGTGTGCTGGAGATGCCCCAGGGAGAAAAAGCCATCTCTTTTAAAAGACACTGTTTATTACTGGGGTTGCCTGAGAGATGCTAGGGGAGAAAGTGCCTGGTTGAAGAAGTCTGGAGGTGGCAACCTGCTACAGGTACTTATTGCACATAAGCTTGTGCAGTCATCTGTACACACCAGACATGACTCAACCACCATTATCGTAGCATTGTTGTCTTCACTACAAGGAATTCACTATAATGAATGTAGGAAATGCACAGGCTATACTTATAAAAGGACTTTGGCTTCTAAATCCCATCTAAGCACTATCTTTGGTGCTGAACTCCAACCAATGGCCTAACAAGATGAGTTGGTGCCTGGAACAAACCGTACAGGAGGCTGAGGGGATGCAGTTCCAAGACTGGGGCAACACCCTTACACATGCTGGGACTCCAAGATAGTCCCTAGCCGAGCTGCTGGTGCTGCCACCAAGTGCTCCGCCTACCCTGGCTGTTGCTTCTAAAGCAGTAGCAGCCAGGAACTGTTTTGAAATTCCTGACATGGACTCTGCTGGGGCAGGGTGCAATTTTGGCACCCCTCCTAACTTGGCACCTGGGGTATATGCCTCAGCCATTCCTAATTATTCAACTTGGAGCCTCAAAACCTTGCTCTACAGCTATATAACCTTAGGAATATGTACATTTAACCAGTACAATTTCTCAGGAATCTACATATCTGGGTTAGGACCTTGACCAGAACTACTTAGATTCTGACAACCAGGCACCTTGTTCACAACTAGGTTCCAAGGGCTAGGCATTTCCCAAACCCTCTTGCATTTGGAGCCTGATCCTATAGGTATTCATATTCTGGAGAAAAGAAGACTAAGGTGGGGATTTGATAGCAGCCTTTAACTTCCTGAAGGGTGCTTCCAAAGAGGATGGAGCTAGACTGTTCTCAGTGGTGGCAGATGACAGAACAAGGAGCAATGGTTTCAAGTTGCAGCAAGAAAAGTTTAGATTGGATATTAGGATAAACTTTCTCTCCAGGAGGGTGGTGAGACACTGGAACAGGTTACCTAGACAGGTGGTGGAATCTCCATCTTTGAAGGATTTTAAGGCCTGGCTCAACAAAGCCATGGCTGGGATGGTCCTGCTTTGAGCAGGGGGTTGGACTAGCTGACCTCCTGAGATCCCTTCCAGCCCTCATTTTCTATGACTTTTAAGGGCACATGCATGTGATGCAGAGTCCTCTACAAAACACAGCAACAAAGTGACATTTAACTTTAAATGTTTTTTTACTTACAAAAAAAATGTGTTGGACAAGTGTTGCATCCAAAATGGCAGATGATACAATCAATACAGAAATATTCAGGCACTGGTATTTTCTCCACAGAGGTTGAAAACTGAAGGGCTAATGAGAGTGTCATGCTCTGTAATTATGACATCATAAATCATACTCACCAAGCATTAGAACATGCATTTGAGAAGTACATCTGGAATGACCAGTAGCATTGAGATTGAAGCAGCATTGTAGGTCAGGACAAATGAAGCATACAAGTTTAAAGCCCTTGCACAAGCTGCAGTGCACAATGTTTTACCAGGTTTATAATAAATGGAGTTGTGATATATCTTACTGGCGCTTTCTGCAATAATCAACTCAACCACGTAAGAACACAGTGCAGTGCTTGATGTCATTTGTTTCTTCATTCCATAAAAATTAAGGGAACTTTTTTTCATTGTCTTTACCTAGGCTAGCATTTGACCTTTAAGTTTAGTTGATTTTTGACTTGGATCAATAATTGAACAGCAAGTAATCTTTCTATTTTATGAATGTTTCAATAGAATGGTATTGGATGCTCAGATGAAATGCTGTTCTGAGTTAATTACCACAAATACAACTGACAGAGTAGGCTTTGCTTGAACACCAAAACTGCATGCATGCATGTGAGTGGGTGTGTGCATGTGCACAAAACTAAAAACACACCCGCAGATTATTCAGCTCATATTATTGGAGCATATGTCACCATGTTGTGTTTTTATTGTTAAGTTCTGAAATCTCTGTTTGAAAGCTGCTTATTTTGAACTTTCCATCTACCTCTGTACTTTGTTCTGCTTTTCAGCTCAAACAACCAGTTCTTTGCAAAAAAATCCAATCGTGTAATGTGCCCTCCATGTTGTAATATCATCAGATGCCTTGTGGTAATTCCATCAGCAATGCAAAGTAAGAGATGCAGGCTGCAAATCAGACAGTAACCACACCTGTCTATAAGTAGCACATACAAGAATTCCAGTCAAAGTCAGAAACATCTTATCCAGGGGTGGGAAATCCCATTAAATGTATTTGAAAACAGTTTCCCATAAAATGAATTTTAGTAAACTGAATTTGAGTTTCTCTTTTCAGCACTGAACAAACTTCTTCTCATATATTTAGGGATGCACACCACTGTGCATCTAGGTGTATGAGACTTGCAATCAGATGAAATTTACAAGACAAGAGTCATAGGATTCTGATACAAGCACCCTCCAAAACACGGTTGATATGCTCCACTTGATACCCTATGGCAGTGGTCTCCAAACTTTTTTGATCGCGCACCCCTATCAGTAAAAAATTTTTGAGCACACCCCCCCAATATATGTATATTTATATAAATATACATCTAAATAGAAGTTCTAATATTTTCTTTTCACACCCCAATGGATTGTTTTGCGTGCACCCCACTTCGGAGACCACTGCCCTACAGGACAAAGGATATAGATTCAAGCTGTTGGGATGTAACTGTTACATCTTCATGATTCTGTAGTGATACAAGTCTGACAAAGCCACTCCAACTGTTCCCCTGCTTCATCAGAGGTCAAAGTGAGGGCAACTTACCTCATTTGTCTCCCAACAGGCTCATACAGATGTAACATTTAGGTCAGGGGTAGGCAAAATATGGCCCACGGGCAGGTGATTAGTTCTGGCATGCATGTGGGCACCTGCTAAGTGAATGGGCAGGTGGTGGCTCCAGCTCAAGCATCCACGTGGTGCCAGGTGGCTGGGGCTGCTTCCAGTATGACAGGTGCTCTGTCTCTCTCTCCAGGCTGGGGTACCCCCAGCACAGATGTGGAAGCATGAATCCTCACACACTTGTATCACACCCTGCCCCTTCTGACCTGTTGGAACCTAGCAGGTGCCTGCCACATCCACAGCTGCTCATATGCTACAGTGCTACACCTGTGGGTGCATTCAGGTTTCCATGCTGGTCACAGCCCAGAGCCCTCCCTGCCCCTGCCCCCAACTCCTCTGGAGCCCTGGCCCAGAAGCTGCTGGTCGCACTTGGGTAGTTGTGGACATAGCTGGCAGCTGCCAGGTCCAGACTGGGGTGGTGGGAAGGCACGCTAGAGCTGTGGGTGAGTGGACGCCAGTGCTGGGGGATGGGGGGAGGGGTGTTAAAGCTGTGGGTGGGTTCAGGCTTCCATACTCTTTGAAGCCCCGGGAGGGAAGGACTGGGAAAGAGAGAGAGAGAGACTTGTGGCCCTCAACAGGTCATAAGAACTCACTGTAAGCCCAAATAATTGCCCACTACTTATTTAGGTGGTAACAGGTGCTGCATGTTCCCAAGCATACGCTCCCCCTCCCCTTTTAAGGAGGCTACAACCAAAAATCTGTCCATTCCCAAACAATGCTGGTCTGGAAAGCTTTGGATATTCTTCAAAAGTACTAAACAAAGCCTATGATGACATGCAGAGGAAAGCAGCGGCCATGCCTATTACCATGAAACTTGCTAACAAAAGAAAAACATGTGAAGACCAACCACAAGCACAGGCCTTGGACATATGAGGAAAGCTCACTACAGGGCCACAGAGCTACATCTGCATGGCCTCAAACCATGAGAGTAGTTTGATAAGAAAAAGGTTAAAAGTTAAATGAAAATAAGGGAAAGGCCTGGTAGGATGGTTCACTTAAAATCAACCAAGATGCTTACTTAACCAAAACATGAACACTTTCCATATTGAATCAGACTTTAAAAAGAAAATTAAAAGCAGCAAAAATTTCTATGCTGATGCAACTGGCTGGTGTGTAATAAATCAGCCACAAAAATGAATATTATGACCAATATGCCTATTTACTAATGTTGCCATAAATCACCAACTTTAATACTTTATCCAGACTCTTTGAAATACAGTTTTACATTCTTTAGCAATAACTGAAACATGAAAATGCAAACAATGAAATGGACAAGGTTATATAGTATGGACTGTACTCGCCATCTATAGATTCATCATTATTACTATAATGTCAATTAAGACTTTTTTTTTTACTTCAAAGCTATTCATTAATCATTAATGATCAATTATGACAAAGATTTTGACATATCAATTATAAACACAATACAATAGATCAAATGTACAAACCTGGGTTGCTAGATTTAGGTTTTTTAATTATAAATCTAAATCCAAATCGTAAATCTAAATCCACACGTAGGCACCTAAATATATGATCACATTTTGTGATGTGCTGGCAACTTGCATTCAAGACAACAGGAACTCCAGGTGCTTAGCACCTTTGAATTTTTTGGTGCTTCTATTTAGGGGCTCAAATATAGACATGGGAGCCAGACTTCCAGTCCTTCAGTATGAAAAGTTTTTTTCTTACAGTTACGACAGTTCAAACTGTATTGTTTGCTTCAAGTTTCTTGCTTTATGCATCAGCTACTAAGCTTTCAACTTACTAACCAAGGGTCCTGAAATTACTCAATGCTTCTTGCTGGGTGTGGTGTGTATACATGTGCAAATGCTACTGGATGGGCAAACCCACCCTGGGCAGGTATCTACATGTGAAGGTATTTGAAAGCAGATTTGCTCCCCCCCTGCTCTGCTCCCACTCTGCTCTGCTCCCCTGAAGCAGGGGGAGCTCCAGGGGGGCTGGCAGGGAGCACAGGGCCAGGAGACAGCTGTCTGCCAGTGGGAGGTGAAAGACTTTACCCTGCCCCTGGGAGCTGCCTGCCTGCTGCTCAGGCATGTACAGCCCATGCTGGGGCAATGTCCCCCTGCTCTGGCAGCAAGGAGCTCTTGGCCTTGACTCTGGGATGTGATGAGGAGCTGGTGCTAGGAGCTCCCTGCTGCTGGGGTAGGAGGGTGTTGTCCCGGCCTAGGCTCTGCCACTGGAGCCTGCTTCAGCAGCAGGCAACTCCCAGGGGCAGGTAGCAATCTCCCACTCCCTGCTGCCTGGCTGACTTAGAGCAAATTTGCTCCCGGTCAGCCGTCTACATGTGCTTTACTGCATAGTAACTACTCCACAGTTAATTTGCTACCTAAAAATGCAGGTAGAAAATTAACCATGGAGTAGACCAATGTATCGTTCAGTAAGCATCTGCATATGTAGATGGTGATGCTTACTGCTTAGTAAATTAGTCTACTGCACATTAAAGCATCTTGTGTAGATGCGCCCATTGTCAAGGATAGAAAGGGAGTTAGAACACTGTAGTGAGAACATTTCCTCCCTACTTGTACTGCAAATGCCTCACAGGATGAAATGAAAATCAAACATATGCTTCTTGGGCTAATTCTAATACACACTGGCCTCAGTGGCACTTTTGAGGAAACAGAGTCACTGTTTCACCTCCAACAGCATCAATGCTATTGAAACTAACCCTAGAGCCACTAGTTGCAGGCACTTGTACCAGTTAGGAATTTGACTTGTAATGGGTCTATATAAACATAAAACATACAGTGATGTGTTCTGATATGAGAAAACCTATGAAATATATATATATATTTAACAACTTAACATTTTTCAAATAAAGAAAAAAATAGTTACAATCTGGAAAATTCTTAATATAATGTATACTGTACTGCATTTTTTGATACTTTGAAGTTCAGTGAGACTCATACTAAAAGCATCAACAATATTCTTCTACTCTCTGCTTCCCATCACCAATTTTGAAAATCACAAGAGCTTTCTAGAGCACTGGTTTTCAACCTTTTTTTATTTACAGACCCCTTTGGAAATTTCAAAGGGAGGTGCTGACCCTTTTGATTTGTAAGTGTGTGTCAGTATTTACATACGTTTGATTGATCATAGTAAACTTTTGTGGACTCTTTAGGCATAGTCTGTGGACCCCCAGAGGTCTTCAGACTACAGGTTGAAAACCACTGGTCTACAGCAAAGTTTTCTTTAGTCAAAACCTGTGATAAAATTAAAGGTTAATACAGAGCAATATTGTGGGCTAGACTCAGACAGGTTTCACAGTCCACTCATGACTATTAGCTCCCACAAAGAAGGCAGTTGATATGTCTACTAATATGCATAGTCATTTGCTCAGAATTTTTTCTTTTTCCTCTTCAAAGCTTGTCATCTTCTCTGAGAAGCTCAAGGAATGACTGAAGCTGAAGAAATGTGGGGCGCTTTTCTGGTAGCTAAAAGAAAACAAAAAAGTATATATAAAGCAGCTCAACACTGAAACTATACATTTGTTGATACTGTACTTTGCATTCATTTTTCCTGGCTACAGCATTCAGAAGTACAGGGAAATAGTGGCATTTATATGGTACGGCAATTTAGACTTTTGAGAGCTCTTGGTGTTTTTAATTTCCTGGGTTGCTGTAGCTTTCTAATGATATCTTTCACACTTTAAAATTGTTTTTGTTCAAATATAAGTTATTTTTTATCATTTTGTGTGCCTCATACAAAGCTATTGATCATCATCAATTTATAGTAGCATAACTAATGCTTAGACAGTCTCTAAACATTCAAGGGGGATACTCCCAGTACAGAGGCTGGTAAAAAGAGGTTGTAGAAAGAGGAACAATAAATCAGGCTTTTGTTTGGCCCTAGAGTCACTATAGGCAGCATGGCAGACATTGGTCCTTAAGAAGAACTTGGATAAATTTACACTTGCAGGAGTACAAACATTAGGAGAAGTCCCCCAGACTCTAAATCTGTCCTCGACTTTAAAGCACATTTTAACATTATTTGCAAAGCTTCATTATGCACTAGCTTCTGGAGGAGGGGAGGAATCAGCCAGTTACACTTCTTGTCTGTTTTTCCATGCCATGCTTCTTATTAAATATTCTCCTTTCCTTCAGTTTTTTTGTTGTAGACTGTTATATGAAAACTAGCTTCTCTCGATAACTGTTTTTCTGTATCAGAGAGTTTCCTGTATTAATTTTTTTGCACCTCTTCTTAATGAATCACACTAATTATTATTTCTCCAGCTTATATGGACTAATGTATATACCTCATGCCAGCAGCTGTACATTATCTGATAGATGTTTTCTGAGGCGAGCTGGGGTCGATAAAGTCGGTATCCCTCACAAACCTTCTGAATCACTTGCATATTATCATACAGCTCATAGGGTTGCTTTCCCAAAGTGAATACTTCCCACATTAAGATTCCTGTCAAAATACCCACAATGTTTAAAGTCCATATCAAGACACTAAAGCAATACCCATCCAACACAGTGGTAATAACTGATGAGACTTTTACTAGAAGCATTTTCCCAGCAGATTTACTGGGATGAATGACAAATGGTGCTGGTATAATTCAGCCTATTCTCAACTGTAAAAATATTGCTGTTGTAGTGATAAGACAAGGCTGAGTGGTACAGATGCATGATGGATTTGTTCAAGAAATCACAGTCTAAAAAAACCAACTTATATAAACGTTATGAGAAGAAAAGTGACACAAAACCATTACTAGAGGGGTTTTGTAGAAGAGTGGCTTGCTTGACTTAACTGGTATTTTAGTGAGTGGCACTTGCATTCTTTTAGTATTAGAAGATTTAAACAGAATTCCCAAAAGACCATATAGTGGTTTTATATCTGCCATACTTAGCAATAAAGCCTGAGATCTCTAGAAACTATTGACAGAGGGACATATTACCATCACAAATATCACAAATTGATGCTTTGTGATAATTTTGCAATAAAAAACTCTCAGGCTGGTGAAAATTGAGTGACATTCATGACAATTACAAAGTGAATTGTTTCTTCATCACATGCGATATTCCCTACAGTGATGGTTTTTCAAGTATTCTTCTTTTTGTGTTCATTTCAGAGCGATCGGGCCTTGACTTCCAAGAGAAGTGGTGCTGGCTCCTACCCTCGGGGTCTTTAAGAGGAGGCTAGATGTACACCTTGTTGAGGTCGTTTGACCCCAGTACTCTTTCCTGCCATGGCAGGGGG